AGTCCCTCAATTTCTGGCATCATCGATCTGGAGTGGTTTAGGAATGGTGCCTTTTAAAGTTCCCTGGGGCTGGGTGTGATGGCACACACCTATAATCCCGGTGCTTAAGAGACTGAGGCAGGAGGATCTCAGTGAGTTTGAGGCTAGCCAGGGCTAGACCCTGTCTCAAAAAACAAACAAAAACCCAAAAATATTTTTAAAAAACTATCTGATAGATGTATAGAAAGATCAGTAAAACAACATAGGGAATCTGTGAATAGTTCCAAATACATACTAGAATTTAGAATATGATGAAAATATTTGTAATAGTGAGAACAGGTGATTTAGCTATTAAGCAAGATTGGGACGACAAAGTTGTCATCTGGAAATAAAAGCCTGGATCCATAATGCTTGTAAGTAATAACTGGGGCTGTTCCCAGATACCCTGGTTCCCTCTCCTCTGACCTGGGACCTATTTTGACCAAGGAAACATAAGCAGAAGAGACAGACCCCTGAGGTGCCAGTGTGACTTTTGTGTCTCTACATGTCCGCCACAGAGACAGGCAGTGTCGCCAGTGATGCACGCTGTTCATCTGCTTCCCCAGCCCTCAGCTGATAAAGAATGCATGTGTAGAATGAGGAAGAAATTAGCCTTGGTTGTTTTCAAATATGGGCCATGGGCCTCTTTGTTACTGCGGCATATGCTGGTGAATCCTAGCTGATACATTCCCAGCATTCGGTTACATTTTACAGACACCAAAGATTTAAATGTCCAAAATGAAGCAAAATTACTACAAGAAACCATGAGGGAACTATTTAAAACCTTGGAGTAGGGAATGCCTTTGTAACTAAGAAAGAGAATCCAAAAGCTATTGATACATTTATGTACAAAGTTTAAAAACCTGCATGACAAAAAACTATTGCAAGCAGAGTCAAAATACAAAATAAAGACAAGGGAAATACAACTTATAGAAAAAGGATTCATTTTATGAACATACAGTATAAAGATTTCCTACAAATCAAGAAGAAAAAGACCAATGACAACTCAATATTGAAATGGACAAAATAGGGCTGGGGATTTAGCACGGGGTCACCACACCTGCATCACAAGTGCAAGGTCCTGAGTCTGATCCCTGGTACCAAAAATAATAATAATAAATAAATAAAATTTTTAAAAACTAAAATGGACAAAATAGATTTTAGCTGAGTGCTCATAAAGAAGCAAATTAGCCTGAGTCTTCACTGTGTGAAAAGATATTCAAGATCATTCAGGTTAAGAGAAATGCAAATTAAAAGCACAAATGAAAGCCGTATTTCACCTGTCATACTGGCAAAAATTTAAAAGCACTGTTGATAAGAGTGTGGGAAACAGACTCTCATATTTTCCCAGGACAAAAATAAATTGGAACAGCCTCTGTAAAGGGCTACCTGATAATATCTCTCAAAATTAAAAGTGCACATAGCCTTTGACCCAGCAATTCCATTTTTATTGCTTTATCCTGGAGCTGTACTTTACAGATGAGAAATGTATACAAACAAAGTTATGCACTGAGCATCCTTGGAAATTGCAAAAAAAGAAGAAGAAAAAGAAGAGGAAACAAGACACATACTTATCAATAAAAAGCTGCTTATGGAAATGGTAGTCCATGCATACAGTGACAACAAGAAAGGCTAAACTCTTTGTGATCCTTTGTGGCCTAAGAATCCTTGCAGAGAGCGAGGTGCAGGGCAGAGTGAATGGTGTGCTCCCCTTTGTAGAGAAATAAAATATTTCTGAAAAGATATTTGAGCTACTTGTAAAAGGTGTGCCTCGGGAAGGGACCCAGGAGTGCCTGGAAGAGGTTTGGAGGAAGATTTTACCTATTCAAAAAACAACTTTAAATAAGGGAGAAATCAAAAACTCTCTGAATATAACTACCCTACCAGAGTTCCCCGGCATAAGCCCACAGCTAGGACCCAGTGAACAATGAAATTAAGTGTTTATTTGTTTCTGAGCATTGGAAACAATTATGTAATCCTAGATGCATCTGAAATCCCATACCAAGAAGGTTCAAGGCAATTGACTGTAATTTCCTGCTGCATTGAGTTTCAGATATTTCTAAAGCGGGCAGCATTTCTCCAGAAAAGCCTAACGACTAAAATATTTTAAGAAGGTCAACTCTAATTCTATTGCGGTGGAGAGGATTTGCTTTGTTTTGCTTTCTGACTGCAGCCATCCAGTTGCTTCGGAATGGCAAATGTGTTTTCTGTCCTCTCTTCGAAGCTGCCATGAAGATTATGTTCCCAGCTTCCTTCTCAGGGAAGAAAGCCAAGAGCGGTCTTTGCCCTTGTGGAGAACTTTCTGTTTCATGGTGGTAAATCTGCTGTCCCTTAAGGAGAATGACGAGGACAAGTCAGGGACCCAGGATGCTTTTGTCCCCCAAGTCCACAGTGCCCATTCTGGGAGCCTTGTGTCCTGGGTGAGACCGAGGAGTGACAGACTCGGAGGTCCTGGCTTGAACCCTCATTGTGTTGGAGGGTTTATGCAGAACCCTGGACTTCCGGCTCCCCCGGCAAAGCCCTGACTTTGCTCCATCCCTGCTGGTCTGCAGACAGCACCTCAGTGAGATTTGAGACCCTTCGGAGGCCCCGCGTGCTGCATTTGTTATTCACCGTGTCCACACGTACGCTCACCTTCTGCTTCATCTCTCCCCTCCCTGACCTGCCTCCAGTCCCTGGGATCCATTCCACAGTGGACTCCTCACCTTTCCAAGTGCACCGCCGTCTCTCTTTGGGAAGTCTCCTTGCTGAGCCTGAGGGCCGTCACTGAGGAAAAATCATCAACACAGGACCTTGTGTTGTGGGGAGCACAATGGTCATCCCAGAGGGCTGCCTGGCCTGAGATTCCTTAAGAAAACGCTGAGCTGCCGCTGGTTCATCCACAGCACCTGAAAACTCACTCCTTCCTTCTCCTTTCCCTTCTCTCCTTTTTTCTTTTTTGCTGTTTCCCTTCTCTCTGCAACAACAGAGAGAGTGCTACAGAATATAGAATCTGTGGCATTTGGCCAAAACGAAAAAACAAAAACAAGACCTCACTTCCTAAACGGGATGAAATTCACCCTTATGAGGTGAATGGCACTACTGCTTTCTCTGAGCCAAGGTTTAATCTTCGCAAACCAACCATATGGACACAGCATGTCGCAGTGCCGAGCACATAGTCAGCTCCGTGGGCCAGAGCTAGTCTTACTACTGCTATTTTCATCACCTCAGGTCTGTGCCACCCACTCAAGACCTAGTACATAAACAATTGCCTCATCAAATCTACATCAGGGTTTTCCAAGCAGGGACTCCCACCTTCTGCTCATTATTTCTCCCTCAGCAACTGCAAAGTAAACACAGACAGTTTCCAATATCCAGGGTCAAGACCTTTCTATCCTGCGTGGTGCGGGGTGGACCTCCTGCCATGTGGGGACGCCATGCCTTCGTGTGCACACCAAGTTCAATTTCAAACTCTTTGATGTCGAGTTTTGACAGAGTAATTGAATTAGGAAGTGGAACAATAAATTTAAAAGTTGCCAAGCCAAGGACAGAACCTCCAGTACCGATGGTGATCTGATCACCGATGGCATCGTCTGGCAGGTGGGGAAGTAGCAGCCCAGCTCACAGGTTCTTAGGCCAGGAGCCCTGTGCCCTCCACAGCCCTGGGCAGCCTGGCCATGAAGACTGCAGGGCTCAGCACTTGCGCCCTTTGGAGCCCTGGGTTCTGCCACTTGGGCAGAGCTCACCTCCCAGGCCCTGGCCTTTCAGCCAAGCCTGAGGCTTGGTGATGTCCAGACAAAGATGTCTACTCATGAGTGGCATAAATCAGTTCCTGGTTCCATGCCATGCGAAGGCTGAGGTGCAGTAGTTGAGCACCTTGAATGACACATGTGTTGTTTCAAAGAGCTCAGACCTCCAAGCTGAGTGAACACATTTTAGAACCCCCAAATTAGGAAATTATAAAACAGCCCTGCAAATTATCAAACTACATTGCACTGGAAATATGATACATAACCTTTATTGAAAAGGATAAAATGCTGTAATATTAGGTTGAACTCCAGGAAATCGCCATTTTCTGAGTGGTCAAGTATGGGTGAGTTCAAATGATTCCATCCAGTGGTTGTGCAGCTGACACACACTAAGCTTTTGCCATATGCCAGGCTCTGGCCCCTTCCCTGGTGTGCTGTGATGCCTTGAGGGCAGTATGGGGGGAAACTGAGTCTTACCCAGAGTGCTTTGCCCAGGGTGATGAGAAACAAGCTCCTACACTAGCTGCGAATGGCTGGTGCTGGGGTGGTGGGCAATACACTGTCACTCCTCTGTCTGTCTAGCCATGGATGCCTCTCATCCCAGCCATCCTTCCCCTGCCCTGTGGCACACATTCTCACGGCTGCCCCCAGACTCTCTCATGACCAACAAGCGACCATCCTTCCAGTGACATTCTCAGAGCTAGAGCATCCAGCCCGAGCCCATCCTCTGTATCTAGCACACGCATTGTCAGCATCCAAGGCCTTCCCTGCCTCTTGCATCTCCCAGGCCTTTGTTTCCCTTCCTACCAATGTCCAGTTGTTAGAGCCTCCCCTTACAACCATCTTCAATTTTCTTTCCCCATCCCCTCCAAGTGCACCTCTGGCAAACAGCCAGCCTGATGGGACCCTGGGTGTTGTGCAGGGAAGATGCCAAGGCCTCCAGAGACCCTGGTAGGTCGAAGCACAGAGACCGCTCTGTTCAATACAAGGGTCACAAGCAAAGGAAGAAGCAGGAAGCAAGAGATGTGCTCCTTTCAGTTTTTATTTTGAAAAATATCAACTACATAGAAAAGTTAAAAGAACCACATATCCTTCTCCTAGGTTTGCTAGGCACAGATATTTTGCCACAGTTGTTTGGTCTCCTCTGGATAGATGGATGGATAGATAAATGACAGATAGATAGATATAGATAGATAGATAGATAGATAGATAGATAGATAGATAGATAGACTGATAAAAATACAGTGGGTGTTTGTGCTCTCTCTGGCAGCACATACAATAAGATTGGAATGATACAGAGAAGATTAGTGTGGCCACATTGCAAAAATACAGTGGGTGTTTAAAAAACAAAAATTTATTACAGTAAAAGACACATTGCCATTAATTCCTCTCAAAATAACCCCCCCATTGATCTTGTCACTCTCTGAAGCAGTTCTGGAAGTGTTCTTTCCTGAGTGTCTTTACAAAGTGTGATAAAAAACATGATAATGGTGCTGCTGAGTGCCAAGTGCAATCCAATGGAAAGGTTGGTGTGTAAAGACAAGGTGGTGTGTCTTCATCCATCTTATTCACTGGATCTGACACCATGTGCTTTGTGGCTCTTCCCCAAAGCCAAAATGACCAAGAAAGTTAAAAATTTCTAATGGAGATCCCTGCGACCATGGCGCTGCGAGTGGTCGGGAGCGTGCGCATCGAGGCCTGAAGCCTGCGCACAGCCTCGGTGCCCTCCGCGCCCTGCTCAATGCGGCCCTGGCGGGTGCGGGCGGGCGCCGTGCAGTCCCTGCGCACTGGGACGGCTCTGCTCAAAGCACGTAAATTCACAGAGAAACATGAATGGATAACAACAGAAAATGGTATTGGAACAGTAGGAATCAGCAACTTTGCACAGGAAGCTTTGGGAGATGTTGTCTACTGTAGTCTGCCCGAAGTTGGGACAACACTGAAAAAGCAAGATGAGTTTGGTGCTTTGGAAAGCGTGAAAGCTGCCAGTGAACTCTATTCTCCTCTGTCAGGAGAAGTAACTGAAATTAATGAAGCACTTGCAGAAAATCCAGGGCTTGTCAACAAATCTTGTTATGAAGATGGCTGGCTGATCAAGGTGACAGTGAGTGACCCTTCAGAACTAGATGAGCTCGAGTGAAGAAGCATATGAGAAATACGTGAAATCGATTGAGGAGTGAAGTGGCATTCAAAATAAACTAGTGTGAATGACTTCTTCCAGCAGTGTCTGCAGTTAGTGGCAGACGGAAGACTTGAGATAACAACTTTTAGCAGTACTATAATGATGGAAAAGAAAGAAACCACTCATCACTGTTCCTGGATGGAACTACCCCTTAACTAAGAAGCATATGAGAAATACGTGAAATCGATTGAGGAGTGAAGTGGCATTCAAAATAAACTAGTGTGAATGACTTCTTCCAGCAGTGTCTGCAGTTAGTGGCAGACGGAAGACTTGAGATAACAACTTTTAGCAGTACTATAATGATGGAAAAGAAAGAAACCACTCATCACTGTTCCTGGATGGAACTACCCCTTAACGCCCTAGTGATTGCAGATAAACACAATGTGTGTCTTTTTATATAAACTTTATGATTTTTAGACTAGGCTGTAGGTTCTGATATTCAGAATTCATAAAATTATCCATGGTAAAAACTAGTTATAAAAATTAATGTAATTCAAGGATAATATTGTTTTAAGCCTTACAAATTTGTATCTTGCTTACATTTCTCCCTGGGTTTGGGTCAAAATATTCAGTGTGTCATTTGGACAGTGTCAGATGAAGAATGACACTTTCTCAATTTTGCAATAGATGCATTGGCTGGGGTTGTTTTTATACAGTGAGGCAACAGCTTTGCAGCACAATAAGAAACAAATAAAATATCTACTTTAAAAAAAAAATTTCTAATGGATTCAGAACATTGAGGCTGCCACCCAACCTCTTAGTTGCATGAGCGAAGACCTCCAGAGTGGCTACAGAAATTGGCAAGAGCAATGGGGTGCATTTGGAGTGTTGGGGGAGTATTTTGAGGGCAATTAATGGCAATGCACATTTTGTTATAATAAATATTTTAAATGCATGCATTCACCATAGTTTTTGATCACACCTTATTCCTATGTACAGATACAGATACACATATTAGTGAAGACACATTATACACAGATACATACATAAATACACACTTCCTAATCCATGTGAAAGTAAGATACAGATATCAAGAGATGCTTCTATAAGTACATACCTTATATGAATACACATGTCTACATACATATGCACGTGTACACACACACACAAGTGGATGAGAACACGGGTGCAGGATTTCTATCTCTGAGGCTGGCCCATGCAGCCTCAAACCCTTTCTTGTGACTAACACTGCTCAGCTCCATGGAAGCAAAAAGGCTTCCCACATCTCCTGTCCATGTCATTGGAACAAAGGTCAACTCTGTCCCAGCACTGGGAAGGACAGCAGAATGTATTCCTGTTGATATTGGAGGTGGACCCTGATTCTGAGGCTGAAGACGAGATACTTGCACAGTGGGGTCTGCCTCTCCAGAAATTGGAGCCTGTGTGTGTCTTCCTGCTTCTTTCTCTTACAGTGTGTGCTTCCACAGCCACTCCCAAAGCATCACAGTATCCCAAGCAGTCATCCATGGTAGGGAGGAATAGTGTCAATGTCAGTAATCCACATCACCACATCACCCCTGAGTTTGTGCAAACACAGATCTATACAGACCACACACAAAGCATGAGATAGATGCCTCATGCTGGCAGCTGTACTAAAATTGCAGATGGTGTTATGTCTATTAAAATATTTAAAAAGGTATTAAATTTACCAAAAAAATTTAAAAATCTGCTTTATTTCAATAATTCTGATTTAAATTTTTGTATTAATTCTAATTTGCATTTATTCAAGAAAGTATAATTTTAAATATTTTAGAAGAAAAATGTCTGAAACTATGAAAAGCTTATAATTTTGTCTTTGTATTTTTGTGAAAACATTCACATCTCACACATAGTCCTTTGAATTCAATTGCCTTTTATCTTTAATCCTTTAGCTCATTACTGTGTGATAATATTGATTATAACAACATAATTAGGGATTTTGCTAAAGCAAAATAATAAGTTAATTTTCAAAACAAAAATGTAGTAATGAAGACTTCTGCGAGACACTGGGTGTGGTGGGACACACCCTTAATCCCAGATACTACTACTGAGGAGGCCAAGGCAAGAAGATCACCAAGTTCAAGGACAGTCTGGGCAATTCAGTGAGACCCTGTCTCAAATTTTGAAAAAAGAGGGGTAGTGGAAGTAGCTCAGTGATAGAGCACTCGCTTATAACATTGAAAAGGCCTGGGAGGGAAGGAGAGCTGGGCGAAGAGGGATTTTGTGGGAAAGAATGGAAGAGAAAAAAAGAAAGAAAGAGAGAAAGAGAGAGGAGGGAGGGAGGGAGGAAGGAAGGAAGGGAAGAAGGATGGAAGGAAATTTGGTGTTTATATTTTGTATTGTGAATCCAAACTTTAACTGTCATCATCAGAAGGTAGACATGCATCATGATGATTAGATTCCTTTTTATTTCTTAAATACTTTGTTGACTTTAGTCATTTTTAAAATCAGTGGTGCATACCTGTAAACCCAACTGCTCAGGAAGCCAAGATGGGAGGATTGCAAGTTGAAGGGCACCCTGGGCAATTTAAACTGTCTCCAAATTAAAATTTTAAAAATTAATGTTGGGGGTAGAGGCTGAGCTTGGCACTCCCTGGGTTTACTCCCCAGGAACACACACACAAACACACACACACACACCACAGCTTTATAGATGGCTTGTCATTGGACACATACATTTGAAAAAGCGGGATAAAATACATCGTATCACTTAGTGCTCCATTAGTGTGGCTCACAACTTTTCAATGTTTAGGCACAGGGTATGTGGGCTTTTATTTGTACTCACAGGGCCTCTACATATTTATAGCCTCTCATCTCCTGCAAAGGCTAGGACATGCCTACATACACGGACACACACACCCTTGGCCTCACTCACGTAAAACATGAATGGAAAAACAAGTATAGCAAGCCCCAAAATCAAATTTGTTCATGACAGCATTCTTCAGGGCTAAATAGAGGTGCTGAGAAGGCAAGTGGTTTGATAGCAGCTTCAACAGACCCTGGACTTACAAGCTCGATTTGTTCTGAGGGCTGGTTGTAACTCAAGTTGGTCAACTGAAGGCTCAGGCTCCTCTACACAGCCTTCAGAGTCTCTCTCCTGTGTACACAGGCAGATCTCGGTGTCCTCAGAGAAACAATGGCCCAGGATTTCTCAGTTATCCCCACTCAGGAGAGGATGTTGTCATGCTCCTTCCAGAGCTCTTTAAGGATAGTCTGAGACCATCTGGAAGCACAAGCAGCCAGCATTTGGGTCATAACTCAAGACTTTGTTCTTAAGTTAACACTAAAATTTCGGTCGTAACCCAAGTTGTTCATAAAGCAAAAGGCCGGTTATAATTCAAGGGTCCACTGTATACTGTTTGTAAGGAAAAAAGAAA